AAACTGAGAGTGATATCCAGGTCAGGGTTCTCCTAAATAAGATTGCAAAAATGGAAGTGGATAATAGGGCGGGTGAAAACGTGAAAAAGGACCTGTAACAGGCACTTCTTAAGACACAGAGCTTGGTCAAAGGCAGACAAGAATTGAAGTCCCAAATTCTATAGGCATCTCAGGAATTGCAGAAAACTTGTGCTGTTCTTAATAAAATACCATAAATGCAGGCTGAACTTGATATTTTGAGGATAGAGCACCAGAGATTACAGTAAGCCAAGTAACTCCTAGTCATGTTTCCTTCAAGCTGTTTCGTCTAGGAACTTTAACTAGTTTTTTAGTTGAAATTGAAATGTGTAGTTGTACCTCATCTAAAATTGAAGATTTTTGTGTTTCCTTTATCATTATAATGTGCTTTTAGTACAAGGATTATTAAGAATTTGTCATTGATTTATCGTTTTGGGAGTAGATTATAATTTGCTTTTACCACAAGGTCCATGGTGAGCGTGGCCAAGGAGAGCGCAACGCTATCACAGACCAGAACGGCGGCAGCAACAAGCCAGCGTGTTGTTTAAGGAAGCCAATCTCCTAGACAATTGTTTGTGGCCTTTTGCTCTTCTCATCTTTTGCTTGGGCTTGATTTTGTTTTTCACTGGTCATTAGGAGTATTCATATTCGATCCAATTCGATTAATCGACCTAAATTGATCTAATCCGATAAAAAATCAAATCAGACCGATATAAAATTATGTTGGTTCAGATTATAAAATTTTAAAACTGATATGATTGGTTTGATTTATGGTCTTACCTTCAAACTACCGGAATTACTTGATTACAAAATAAAATTTGATTATAAGATAACTTAATTAAATAATGAAAAATAATTGATACACCCTCCAGTCTAACATACTCTACGACACACTTATTAAGAAATTATTATTTTCAAATTTGAATTCATAGCAGGAAAGTTTTCAAAGGCAAATTTTAATAGTTGAATCGAAATGTGTTATATAGTGTATTGAATCGTAGGGTGTACCAATCATTATCCTTAAATAATACATTATATTTTTTTGTAATATTTAATTTTTTTCTTATTTTACAAGATGATAACTCCATTAACTTAATTAAAAAACAAAAATAAAATATTCTCATATTCTCTAATTTTTTTCATTTCTAAATTGTTCACTTTAACCTTAATTCTAAATTTCCAATTCACCTGCAATTTTATTTCTTTGAACTAGTCTACGACTCTACTTTTAAAACCTTAAATTTTTAATTTGTTCTTAAAATAATATTTTGATTCTTCTAACTAAATTTTAAAAAATATCATTTTAGAAGTCTTAAAACTATCACTACTAGAATTAGGATCTTATTCGGTCAAGCATTTTGACTGAATAAGTACCAATTTTGACCGAATAAGAAGTAATTCGGTTAAATTACTTGACCAAATTGTTAATCCGAATAACCTCTGAAGGAAATATTAGTTCGGACAAAATTCATCTTGACCGAAAATGTTGGATAATTTCGGTCAAAAAATTTGACCGAAAATATTATTGGGAAATCTATTATTTTAGACTATTTTGGTCAAAATATTTAATCGAAAATGTTATTAAAAAATATTTTATTTTAGACTATTTCGGTCAAATTTTTTGACCAAAATATTATTTTAAAATTCAAAAAAAAAATAATATAGTTGTGTAATTATAGTATATATATAATTTTTTTTATAATTACAAAATAC